AATAAATACAGTAAATATTTGCTCTAAATCTTAATTTTATGTCATTTTAATGAGGTTTTTTTTATGTCATTTAAAAAAAGAAACTGTTTGAAAATTGATATTTCCCAGCTGGAAAGAAACTAAAGTGTTGTCAGCTCACAGGGAAAATCTCAACATTTTAAGATGTTTTTCCTCAYATCTGTTGTTTGTTTCTGCTGCTCAAAAAAAGTTTCACAAAACTTTTTTTAGGATCATATTTCAGACAGTTTGTTGAAATGGTACATTGATAACACATTTATTCGTTATATTTTGACTAAATGTAATTTTTGCAAACGTTTAAATTAAAACACTACTTCTGCTTATTTCTCCACAGTCAACTTTTAGACTTCATCCTTGTGAAGGGTCCCATATCGTAACAAGACCCCCGCATCATGATTTCTATCAAGTCACTAAATTCTTGTCTTTGAAACTCTGAACAAAGTGTTTAACAGTTTATGTTCTTGTTTGTCAAATGTTTAACAGAATTATTTAAAGTTTTATTAGTGCTCAGCTGTGATCGATCAGTGCTTTGACACGACTGATGTTCACGTGTCAATTTCTTTCTTTAAGTCTTTCTTTCTTTTTTCTTTCTTTCTCTCTCTCTGTCTTTCTTTGTCTTGGTCTTTCTTTCTGTCTTTCTTTTTTCTTTCTCCTTTTCTCTCTCTTTCTTTATGTCTTTCTTTCTGTCTTTTTTCTTTCTCCTTTTCTCTCTCTTTCTTTATGTCTTTCTTTCTGTCTGTCTTTCTTTCTTTCTTTTCTTTTTTCTTTCTCCTTTTCTCTCTTTTCTTTCTGTCTTTCTTTCTGTCTTTTGTTCTTTCTTTCTAACACATGTCTTGTTTGGGATCAGTGTGGGTCTGCGGTAGTAAAAGATCATTTATGGCTCTATTAAAAACAGGTTTATAGTTACCTTTTTGTTTTTTGCTTGTGAAGGTTCATAAAATAAAAACCCAAAATGGTCAAAATGAGGATTAATCTTATAATAACCTTGACTTTTATTGTTGGTAATAAATTAAATCTATAATTGTGTGTTGTAATAAACCCAGCATGTTTTTCCATCACTTTAGTTTTATTTGTTAGGAATGCAGACCTTTGAAGAGTTCGTTTTAAGACAGGCCTACTTCTTGTGAACTTTATAAATGGTTAGGGTAAAATGAGCTTTAAAGCTGTGGATTTGCTGAAATGTGTTTTAAAGCAACAACGTTTCCAAATTTCAGGTTTTTCCTCGGTAACAAATCTGCTGCAGAAGAAGGTTGTGGGAAAAAAGGCATAAAGGAAACTATGTTGCTGAAACTAAATAAAAAATGTGCAGATTAAAACTCTTCTGTATCAGCGAAAATGGACAATTATTGGACACGCTGGATTGTTTCTAAATTTCAGCTCTTTTTTTATCACTTGGACACTGGTCACATGTTTGAAATTCCTCCACAGCTTTCTCACCAGAGTTGGAAACAACTTGGATTTGGATTAAAACGAAGCGTCTGAATTGTTAGATTTTAGTTTTCCAAGGTCAGCTGTCTGAACTGTCAGTTAGATCAGACTGTAGTTCATGTAGTTTATTGTACAGTTCATTGTGCTTTTCTATTGTTTTCTATTGTTGTGTATATGTAGTCTATGCATACATATGTATGTTTGTATGTACAGTATATATACCCTCCTGATCAAAATCTTAAGACCAGTCAAAAAAAGTGCAAGAATTTTCATTTTGCACTGTTGGATCTTAAGAAGGTTCTAAGTAGAGCTTCACAATGTTAAAAGAAGA